ACTTAAAATTTTTACCTGGTAGTTACAACCACTTGTCACTTACATTATGAATTTCAAAAAAGTAAAAGTTTAACCTTGAACATAATTTTCGATAATTTATAAGAATTTATATGAAATTCCGAAATGGCCATGCTAACGATAAGTATCAGCTTATGAAATTATTTAATATAATTAGTATTAAAAAAATGTATTTCGATGTATAGGAAAAAAAGGGTTTTTTAATATTATTTATAAATTTCAATAAAACATAAATAAAAAGAAAATAAACTAGAATGATGAATCACGTTAAAAAAAAAAATTTGCCGACAGTTGGAATCGATCCTCAGATAGCAAAACAAGAATATTAGTAGCATGAGCCCTTACTACCTTAGCTATCGAAACTTCGAATGCAGGAGATCTAAAAGTCACATATGTTTATCGATAATCTTCGGAGCTTGTCCTACAGTTCATAACAGTTATGATGAGGAAAAATAATTAACCAGTGGTTATAGCTGAACTGCCATCATTAAAAAAATAAGCTAAACATTTTTTCAAAGTAATACTAGATTTCAAATTAAGTATTAACGTACGGAAAAAAAAAAATGTTTTGATACAAATTCTGTGCATATAGTTGTGAGCATTTAGTTTCACGATTTTATCGAATGTAAGATTGATAGATAACATCCAAGCAAAAGCGAGAGAGCAAGAGTAAGTTAAATATATATAGCATATACTCAGTTGCAGTCAAAAGAGAAAAACTCATGTCGTCGCTTGCTTTGTCTGTGCGCTCAGATATATAGCTACAGTGAACGTTTCCACTTCTCTCCTCGTAGGCACACATTCGGTACACCCCTTCTACGTGTCGCCAAAATGTGCGCCTATGTGCTCATTTCCACGCGAATCAACTTCTCTTCTTGTAGGTGCATGCTCTTCGATACGAGTCTCGCACTCTCGAAAAATGTGCACCTTGGTTCGACGGCTGGCCGCGGTGGGTCGCCCCGATCAGTGGAAAAAAGTTGTCTCACGCCGTAGCATTGGCGTTAGCAATCTCTCTACTCATCTCTGCCGTCTACGTTGCACTGTTATCGACAAAGGCTCGGAACTTGAACCAGAGATAAGTAGGGAGATTGCCAGTGCCTATGTTAAAGAGTGTGCCGATATTTGAGCGCTTATTTGAGCGCCAATCCATCGTGGCCAGCAGAGGAACCATGCACTCGTTTTCTATTGGCTGGAGGCTTGTGGGCTCGGCTCGCGAGGAGAGGTAAGGAGAGATGAGAATCCAAATAAGCTAAACCTATATGTGTATGCATACAACGGGCTATATATCTATAGCTATATTTGTACACTGCTCATACGGAAAAGAGCTGCGCGTATTAATTTTCTCGCTCTTCCTCCCTGAAAGAAAGATAAGCTTTTAAAATGCAGTTGATCATTCGTTCAACTATAAAAACAAAAACATAATTGTCATGATATTAACAATTTTTTTTCATTTTTTGAAAAACAACAAGCTCAACGCAATTAACATATTATTTTGCTTTATTAATAAACGAGCGCCTTTATTCCAATAATCCAGTGCGCTCAATTGTTCTTCACTTTTATGATAAGTGAAATTATTGAATAACAAATAAAGGCATTCACCACAACGACACAGTACGCTCAAATATTTTTTGTACTAAGTAATATTATTTACGATTTTACTGAACACCTTTACCCAAACGCCCCATTGCGCTGATATCTTTATTTGGTAATTCATATTTTTTCACCATTAATACATAGCTTAACGGCAATAATACGATAAAGCTCATATTAAATCTCAAGCTTCGAAACTTTACAATAAACATATGTAACTTTTAGTCTTACTATACCCTAAGCGCTAATAGCTC